AGTCGGGCAGGCAGAGGCTCGGTCCGGCTCTGCTGGCTGCGGGGCAGAGCCGAGACCGCCCTCCGCTCCTCCCCCGGGGACGGGCTGAGCTGCCGCGGGCCGAGGGCGAGAGAAGGCGGCTGGGCTCGGGTGGGGCGCGAAGCCGAACGGAGGAGCCGCCGCCGCCGCCGCACTGCGCCCAGCCAGGCGCCGCTTCGGGACTCGGAGCCCCGACTTGGGACGATGCCGACGGCCGGCCGCCGACCCTGTTACTGAAGCCGCACCGCGATGGAGCTGCGGGTCCTGTGCGGCGTCCTTTACTGGCTGCTGCTGCCGCTCTCGCTGCTGGCTGGTAAGCGGGACCGGGCGGGGGGCATTGGCGCTTTGGCAGCCGGTCGCGGTCGCACTCCGGCGGCGAGGCTGCTTCCTGGCTGAAGGAGCCGGAGGGCTGGAAGGCTGCTGCGGACGGTCTGTGTCGGGGAGGGCTGGGCTAAATGACCTTTAAGACCCCTTCCCGAGCCCGTAGAAGCCCATTAGCCGTCATGTAAGCGTTCGAGGCTGGGCTGGTGGTCTGTGAACCCACCCACCTCCCCCCACCCGAGAGAGAAAGGGCTGCCAACTTCCCGGCGGAGCGGGCGACCGAAGGGAGGTCTGGCCGGGCTGGGCTCAAAACCGCCATGGCAGCAGCTGATCCCCAGTTCTCCTTGGCCCTCCTGGTGGGGGGCGGCAGCTCCGCTTCTCCTGGGAAGGATTTGTATCGCACGCAGGCCCCGTGCGCTGGCTGCGCCCGCAGAGGCGGCTGCGGAGAAGTTGTCATCCCGAGTTGCTTCCAGCTTCGGCTGCTGGAGCCCTTCCAACCTGTTAAACAAACCCCAGGGGGAAGGTCGGAGGCTCCCAAGGTCGGCATCACCTGGTGCGAAGGGGGTTAGTGGTGATTAAAAGCAGCCTGGCTCCTGCTTGCTGCGGCTGTACTGAAGCCTAAACCAGCCAGCTGGAAATGCCCAAAAAAGTCAGAACACAAAGGCTTTGGCCAGTCAGCCCAGCAACTCCCTGGAGGAGAGTAATTGGCTGGGCAGGTAGGCGTGTGGGGTGAAGGTAGCAATTGCATGTGCAAGATGTGGTGAGACATCTTGAAGGCTGCATAGTTCGTACACTGGAGTGACTTTCTTATTGAAGGAACTGGATTAGTGGGACTCGGGGAAAATGGATTTGGCAGGTCCCTGGCAGTTGAGGAGGAGAGCAGATTCCAAAAGGCAAAGGGGACTTTCTGGAATGAAGCAGAATTGCTGGAATCACTAACCTCCCTTCAAATGCCTGCTGCCTTATGTGAAAGGGGGAGAAGGGTCAGCATGCAGGTTCTGAATTCTGACGACCAGAGGCTGGATAGAAGGGACATGTGTGAACAGGGACTCTTGTGAACTGACAGGGAAGAAAAGAGGCGGCAGAGGGGAGGGTGGTAGAAACGCCTGAGATTTTGCAGGGGGTCGCACCTCTCCCCTCAAAGCCCAGGGGGAGAAGAACGGGAAATTCCTGGGAGTTCAGACGCCCCCCAAATACAGCCCCATCCTCTGGGCTTGAAGGATGCAGACCGAGGGTCCTCCCTGCTTTGGCTCCTCACTGTAGAGATGAGATGCGGGAAAGACTTGAATGAGGCTGGGTCAGAAGAGGCACGTGGCCTTTGGTGGACGTCAAAAGTGTGAGGTAGCCTTGCCTTCCCAGGGCCGAAGGGGAAGAGAAGCAGAGGTAGCTCATCGGCCAAGAACCTGGTGGCCTCTGGACTTACTGCTCAGAGTTGGCTTTCTCTGTCTCTGGGGTTCCACCACAAATCCGCGAAGCCCTTCTGCGCGGAGACATAAACGCGAAGACTAAATCACGCCGTTCTAAGCGCTAAGGAAAAACACGACCCTACCACGATGACATAATCGCGGAGGGCAAAATCACGCATTCCCAAGCACTCAGTACCCTAAACCTAACCCTAANGGCTTCGTGGGGAGGTCGCGGGGGGCAGTCCCGACCCCCGGCCGGGCTTAGGCCGCAGCGCCCCGGGAGGTTGCAGCTCCCGCCAAGGGACCCCCTCCCACCCCTCAGCCCTCGCCTCGCTTTCAGCCCCCCGCTGGTCTCCTGCAAGGGGAGGCCGGGCTCAGGCGGTGCCATCCCTCGGCCGCGTCCCCGGAGCAGAGGGGCGCCCCCCTCCCCGGCCCTCAGCCAGGAGCCCGCAAGGGGCCGAGGGGAGCCTCCCCGCCGGCGGCTTTTCGCTCCGTGCCCCCCAGGAACTGCGCCTCCCAAGGAGCCGCCGCAGCTGCGGGCTCTACGCGAAGACCCCGAGGCCGCCTCAGGTGGGGAATGGAGCCCGGGTCTCCCTCGGAAGGCCCGTCAGAAAGCCTCGGGATGCGCGTCAGGAAACGCCGCTCCGGGGCTGCTTTCTTTCCTCGGCGCCCCTCGCTAGTTTCAAGCGGGGCTGGCGGGGCGTCTGCTGCGCTGCCCGAAGCGACCCGGCAGGGTCCCGGCTGAGGCGGGCAGCGCTCGGGGGCTCCGGAGCTTCTGCGGCCGGGAGTGAGAAGGTCGGCCGGGAGTCCAGGTAAGGCCAGGCGGATGCTTTGGGGGGGGGGAGTTGTTGGACCCGCAGGCCTGAAGGCGGCAGAGGGCGAGACGGGGGCTCCATCGACGGCGGAGCTCAGCGGGGCAACGGGGCTTCGGGCGGGGCGGAGACGAGCAGCCCAGGCGGAGGAGACTCGGGGGCCACTTCGGGTGGTGGGAGCGGGGGAGCCTGATCTCCCCCGGAGTCCAGGCTAAGCAGCCGCCGCAAGCCGACTGGCGGCTTTGGACGGTCTCCCCGCCGGGATCCGACGTGTCCGGCCGGAGAGGGCGTCGCAGCGGTCACTAGGTGGTGCTGCCGCCCGGGGAATCGCGGGGACGGAGGGGACGGGAGATCGGGGGAAGGGGCGGCCCCGGCGGGTGGGCGGCGGCGGCGGGCGGGTCGGAACTGGCACGTGCGCGGCNAAGCCCTGCTTGCCCGGGTGCCCAGCAGCCTCCCACCCAGTGCCTGAAAGGAAACTCACTTGCGGGTCATCTCCTGCACGCCTTTCTTGACCTTGGCAAAGGTGACCGCTTCCAGGCGGTTGAACATCATGGCCACGAGGGTGTCCGTGCTGCGGAACATCTCGGCCAGCACTTTGTACTTGTAGGGCAGGAGCAGGCTGGGGGGCACGTCTTCCGCGAGGGTGTGGAAGCGCTGGTAGGCTGGCACCTTCTCACTATAGCCAGGAGGGGAGAGGGGGGCTTCAAACGCTGGCCTTCTCCATCCAGCCGACTGAATCAGACCTGCCCTCGGGTGAGCCAGTCGTGCCAGTGACCCAGACACACACACACACACCTCGCCCCCAATTCTGCTTTGCGGTGGGCAGAGCGGTTTCCCCACCTGGTCTCTGCGGTGGATTCCGGCTCCTTCCTTTCCTCTTTTGGGGAGAGTTTCCTCTGGCGAATCTGGGATTCCAGCAACCGGGCCCGTTTCAATCGGCTCTTTAGGTCACCGCTGGATTCCAGGTCGGCAGCTCCGCCCTTGATCTTCTGCACCAGGCTGTGGATCTTGCCCAGGCGGCCCCTCAGCTCCAGGAGCTGCTTTTGGGGTGCATCCTGTGCCAGAAGGTGGAGATCTCAGCAAGGTGGCTGCCCCCTCCTCCCTGTCTGCTGGGGTTGAGCAATGAAGCAGTGCCCGCTTTGCAAAATACCCCCCCCCCCCAGGAAAAAGGAAGGTTGGAAGCTGCTTTAGAAGTGGGGGGAACAGCAAGGAAGGCTGGCCAGGACACAAGGAGAGGGCGAGCAGGATTGGCACTGGTGTCTTAGGTCAGTTCAAGTCTGCAATGCCGGGGGAGGGTCCAATTTTGGCAACTTTTAAGCCCCGGGGACTTCAGCTCCCAGAATTCCCCACCCAGCCTTGCCCTCACCTTCTCCTCCAGGCTGGCCACGGGCACCGAGGTGCCCCCCAACTTCAAGCCAGGCGAGAGCATCTCGTTCACCAGCTCCTTTGCTTCCTTATCCAGGGAGGAGGGGCTGGGAGACCCCAGGGCTGCGGTGGACACCGTGGGGCAAGCAGAGCCCTGGAACACAAGCAGAGCCTCAGACCCCCAGCCAGTCAACCCTCAGGGTTCCCCCCCCCCCCCCCCGGATGCCACAGGCTCGAGAACACCTGGCTGAGATGGGGCAAACCAGGAGGGGAGGCCCAGAAGCCACCTTGTAGGGGAGATTGGGCAGATTGGCAGGACACGGGGCTTCTGTTCACACAACCTAGTATCAGCCCGGGTTCAGAGCAGCACGTGGAGACCAAGCAGACCCCCCCCCCAATTCCCCCAGCCGGGCCGGGTCGCGGGGAGGGGGCTTAATCCGAGCGGGCT